AATATATAAAATTAGATTAAAATATAATATAAAAATATTATCTTTAAATTATTTTTTTACTTACATTAAATTGTAAAATATAAATTTAAAAAAAAAAATTCAACATCAAAATATCCTTCATTCAAGTATAACAGTGCAGTATAATACAGATGGAATAGCCAACAATTTTTCGGAAAAAAAAAAGAAGAGAAGACCTTTACAAATCACAAGCATCTCACGTGGCATGAAAATAACAGCGGGTCTTCTTGTTTCATGAACTGAGTGCGAGCTAGAAGCCTCCTCTTCGTCTCTTCCCTACAAACACGAGAATGCATCTAAATATTTCTTGCAGTTTTTTCCTCTACAGTCCCATGTGTGATATTTTCAATCTTGATTTGACACGCTCCAAACAAATATTATATGGTTCAAGAAAGGAATACTCTTTTTCTGATTCTTTGCGTATTGACCCTTTTGGGAAGATAATCTTGAAAAGGCATCTCAGGTATGATTATAAACACGGGTTTGGATTAGTTTGTTTTGTTCTGTATATTTTTTGAGCTCCCGTTAAGGCTTTGATCCATTGGTTTTTGGCTAGACTGAGATGGGTTGTTTTTATAAAATTATAGAATGGATTGTTGTAAGCTGATTGTATCTCTTTTGTTTTTGTTCTTATTTGCTTCCTGGTTGTCATTTGCCTTGCTTCCCTTTTTTCAGTTTTTGAGACATGGATTTTAGTGATTTTGTGAAAAAAACCAGCTGACTTGTGATTTAAGTGCATATGGCTCTCTTTTAATTTTTCCAGGATACAACTTGTTATCTGCATTGCAATGTTACTTTGGAAGCTGGGTTTTGATTTTGACAGTTTAATTTGATATTATGCTTTAATTTGATATTATCCTGCTCAAGCTTGAATTTTTTTCACTGCCATCTCTTTCTTGTTGTTTGGTAAGTGGTTATATCGATTGAATTAATCTCTGGTCTTGATGTTTGTTCAACCCTTTTAGTTTAAATTATTGCTAGATCCAGGAAATATGACGCTTTTGGCTTTTGTTTTGGTCCCTTGTTTCTTTTTTATTTGATCTCTCATCTCTCCATGTGTATTTGTTCAGGCTAAATCTTTGTTTTGGAGGAATAGATTCTCCATGGTGAGTTAGTAATTATCACCTTTTGTTTTCATTTGTATTCAGAATGGTTTCTAGAATTCCCATCAACAATGCAATTGAGATGGTTTAGAGTGATGAGCTACAATGCTTATCTTTTAATCTGACTTGATTTGTTTTGTGTTGTTATGAACAGGGAGAAGCACCAGCTTGCGTTGCCAATGATCTGCAGAATGGCTCTCCAAACTTGAAATCCAAGGATGGTGAAACCTCTACTATCATTGGTGATAAAGTGGTATGGTGATTTGATGCTCAATTTGATATTTTCTCTTAAAGACGGTTCTTATATTCTTCAGTCAATTATCTGGTCAATCATCTCTGAGATTTAGAATTGTGTGTTTTTCCTTTGCAGTATGTGATTGGCAGGGCAGATGATGCATCCACATTATTACTTGCTGTTAAGATCTACAACAAATTTACAGGGAAATGGTGAGTTTCCAATTCTAGCAATGAAGTTGATCTATTTAGGTTCCATCTTTTAAATGATTTCTGGTCTAATTTGTAGGGTGATCCCTACTGTGCTGGGAACAAGACCTGAGATATGTAAAGGCCATTCAGCAGTACTTTTGAATGAAGATCGAATTATGATTATCAAGAAGGGTTCCACCCCAGATGACTGCATTTGGTTCCTTGAGGTTGGTGTTTTGAAGACATAATCATTTGAGAAATTAGTGGGGAAGCATTTGGGCAACATGAGGATGGAGTCTTGGAATTTATGTAGACTTTGACGCAGAACTAGGAAGTAGAAGAAAGGAACAATTATCAGTTGGAATAAAATATAAGATTCTGGCACTCATTTTGTTCAAGGGTTTTGATAACCAAGCTAACTCATTTTGTATAACATTTAAGTTCATGAGGTGATTCATTTCAACATGGGTTTTGCATAAAACGTCCAGAAAATCTCAATTGCTGAAAGTGTTTGACTTGTTCGACCTTGGTAGGTGAACAACAAATTCGTTAAGGAGCAGACACAAAATTTGGGAACTGATGAGGTGGTTGCATGGAGTAAGGGTGTGAGAGGTGACACCGAGAAGCTCCTTGTTATTAGCGGTCCTTCTGGAGTTGGCAAGGGAACATTAATATCCATGCTCATGGAGGAATTCCCTTCCATGTTTGCATTCTCCGTCAGCCACACAAGTCGTTCACCACGTGGCATGGAGAAGGATGGAGTGCACTATCATTTCACTGAGAGAAGTGTAATGGAGAAAGGAATAAAAGATGGAAAGTTCCTTGAGTTTTCAGAAGTTCACGGAAATCTCTATGGAACCAGTATTGAAGCAGTTGAGGCAGTAGCTGATACTGGAAAGGTAAATACTCTTGTACTTCTGTAGTTATATTAATAACAATTACTAAAAAAATAGTATTTTGTGAATGTTGAAGATTTGATGCATTGATCATTTCAAATTGTGAAACAACTTGTCTTTCTCAAGTCTTAGTGGACAGCCTCTTTATGAATTGTCAATTGAAAGGACTGTCCCTTGCAATGATTTGACTAATTCATTTTTAAGAAAGAAAGGAAAATGAAATAATGTTTGGGATAATTAGGAGTTTATGACTCATGATGACCCCAACTCGTCTGATGCAATTGGTTAATTTCCTTTGTAGCAGAGTGCCCTTTTTGGAGTAAATTTTTAGCATATACTTCAGAGATCGGAAGGTCTTTAAAACAATATCATGTTGGTTTGGGATTTCCATATGTTGTGTGTCATTAGATTTACGTTGCATAATTTTAGAAGCCATGTGGAGAACTTTCTTGTGGGTATAGCTTGCTTAATTACGTCAATATTGTCTATTTACAAATCCTCCGGTGTCAATTCAGAGGTGCATTCTTGACATTGATGTTAAAGGGGCAAGGAAAGTGAGGGACAGCTCCTTTGAGGCTATTTTCATCTTCCTCTGTCCACCATCGATGAAAGAGCTTGAACAACGCCTCCGTGCAAGGTGAATCAGCCCCATCCGTTCTGAAATTTTTCAATCTATTAGTTTCCTAATCTGGTTCCAATTGGAATGTTGTAAACAGGGGGACTGAGACAGAAGAGCAGATCCTAAAGCGCCTTCGAAATGCTGAGGCAGAAATTGAGCAGGGGAAATCATCTGGCATCTATGATCATGTCCTTTATAATGATAATCTTGAGGAGTGTTATAAGAACCTAAAGGTGATTATTCTCTTTCATACTGGACTCATAAATCTTATGCATTCTTTAGTTTTCTTATATTTATTTAGTTATATTCTGAATGATTCAATCTTCCGTTATGATCGACTACATTATGGTGTAGAAAGTCTTGGGACTAAATGGAAGTGCCACTGCTAACCATAAAACAAGTAAGCAGCTTACAATGCGAGTATTTTTGCCTTTGCTTTTTAATGCGAATTGAACTGATGCTATTGAAAACATTAATCCAGCTCCAAAAGGGATCGATCTGCCTCCACACCACTCTGTGTCAAAAGTTGATAACAAGATCCTCATTAAAAGTGAGACCCTAGAGCTAGGGGAAACTTCCAAGAACTTGTAAGTTCCCTCTTCTCCTCTCTCACGCACACACACAATGATGGATCGTGGGATTCTTACTAGTCAGCATCTATTTACGGCTTATTCAGAATCATACTGGATGTATCCAAGCTTAAAGGCGGGGCTCCTGGAAGGACTAGAGGACTTAATGTGTATGCGATCTATTCATTCTCAAATGGTTTAAATGGGATTTGATAACTTGAGCTAATGACTGCTAATCCTCGACAATGCTGACATGGTTTTCATTTTCAAAAGAAATTTCCTGAAGCTTTTAAGGTTGCAATGGTGGGCGGTTGCCCATAGCCCAAAACCCAAAGCCTAGAGTGCATACAAGATGCTTAGGCTGCCGTGGCCTTTTTTTTTTTTTTTT